CTTGTTTTAAGGACAGTGACTGTTGAGGCCGGAGGCAGTGGGGTCCCAGGAGTGGATGAGGGACCATGTAGAAGGTCCAGGTAGGCTGGATAAGGACCTAACACTCTTTTAAAGTCCCACGGTCAGGTAGGGTCACTGAATATCATGTGGGTGTTTTAGGTATAGAGAAGGTTCATTCAAGGTGTAGGGCCCTCTGGGAGTGTCAGGAGCCATTGTGGATCATTGAGGATCTTTTATGACCACTTAGGACCTTTTATTGTTGCATGGATTTTAAAAATTCATTCGGGATCATGTAGCATAATTATTGTTAAGGATTTAGGTTTTAAACTTTCTTAGATTTTACAGTTGGTTAGCACTGTTTAAGGGTATTTAGCACTTGGTATCATTTAGAGTTTGTAAATTTTATCTTGACTTCCTCAACGTTATTTATGTTCTTTTACAATTGTTATGATCTTTTAGGGGTATAACCCTTTGAACACACATACTCCAAGCTCTGGAAAAGCCCATGGCCTTTATTTTATTGATATATTTATATATATATTTATATATATTTTTTTTATCTTCACCCGAGGACATTTTTCCTTTTTTTTTTTTTTTTTTATTCAAATAGAGCGGGAGGGAGAGAGAGGAAGAGAGATAAAGAAACATCGACGTGAAAGGGACACATCGAGTGGCCACCACCCGCACGACCCAACCAGGGCCAGGGACAAAATGCAGCCAAGGCACATGCCCTTAGCGGGAACTGAACCCGGGTTTCTGTGGACCACAGGCTGATGCTCTAACCACTGAGCCAAACCAGCCAGGGCAAGCCCACGGCCTTTAAAAAATACCTGCAAGAGCCCTGACGCGGGCTTTCCAGCCTCTCTCCTTGAGTTGTCTGTTTTTCCCTTGATTTCTGCACAGGACTCTATATAGTAAGCTGTGGTGTCATTTTTGTTTTGTTTGTTTTTTAAATTGTCTCTGGTTAAGCCCCTGTGATGAACATACTAAATAAATACATTTGGTTTTTTGTTTTTTTTAAAATATTTTTTCTTTATTGATTTTAGAGAGAGAGGTAGAAACATCGATGAGAGAGAACATCATCTAGCTGCCTCCTGCATGCCCCCCACTGGGGATGGGCCCACATCCTGGGCATGTGCCCTGACCAGGAATTGAACCAGCAACCTCTTGGTGCATGGATTGACACTCAACCTCTGAGCCACACCGGCTGGGTTGGATTTATTTTTTAAGGTGCACAAGATAGGATAGGGGAATAGTGAGTGTCCCGTGTGCCCAGGCAGGTGAGGCACACATCCAGAATTTTTCATACCAGGCCCTGGTTAGCCAGGCTGGCGCCGCCTCTGGTACGGGGCTCCTGGTCAAGGGAGCTTCCAACTGTGAGCAAACAGAAAGCAGGACAGTCTGACAGGACAGTCTGGCTACCCTCGTGTTTCCAGAATTTATAATAGGTACTTTTTCCTCCTTTTGAAAACTTTTCTTTGCCCGATGCCTGAAAGCATTGAGAGTACAGTTAGAAAGTGGGTTAGGTATCCAGGGTGACTGAGCCTAAACACTAGGAATTCCCCAATTTCTCCCGGGGGGACTCCATCCTTCAGGCTGCCGCACACTTAAGACATCAGGGTGACTGGTTTTCCTCACAGGCACTGGCACTATGGATGCAATCCTCCCATCCTGGTGCGTGCGTGCGTGCATGTGTCTGTGTGTGTACATTACATAAAGTACACACACACACGATTTTGGCACCTAAGGACTAATTTTAATTGCATGTTAGACCTCCTATTACAACAGGGATGTTAAAGACTTTTTTTTAAAGATTGTTTTACATTGATTTTTAGAGACAGAGGAAGGCAGAGGGAGAGAAACATCGATGTGAGAGTGAGACATGGATCAGCTGCCTCCTGCGCGCCCTCTACTGGGTGTCGGGCCTGCAACCTGGGCGCGTGCCCTGACCGGGAGTTGAACCGGCAACCTTTTGATGCACAGGACAGTGCCCAACAAACTGAGCCACATGGGCCAGGGCTTGATGCTCTTCACTTGGAGAAAACTGGCTCCAGCAGTGAGGTGAGAACCAAAATTTGGTTAAGGAACTTGAACAATTTAAGTGAACATCATGTTTCTGTAAATATGTCCCTTACCTTTGGAATCTTTCCTTGGGATCATTTTGGATTACAGGCTTTTCATAGCCCCCCACATTCAATATTTGCTGTGTGTGGGAGTTCTCATCAGCAGTTGGTTCCTGAAATTATACCCCAGACATCTCTGAGACATAACAACTTTCCATCAGCAAAACATACCCATGCCATTCTGTTTGTTCTGCCCCAAATTTGGTACCAGCTACAGTCCCGGGAGCCCAGGTTTCTCTCCACGGAGGGTATTGTAAAGACCCAAAGCTGGGTGCTATTAACCCTCAGATGGTTCTGCAGGCATGGGCAGGGTGACACTCAAAGTCATGAATAGGCCCTGGCCGGTTTGGCTCAGCGGTTAGAGCGTCGGCCTGCGGTCCGGAGAGACCCAGGTTCGGTTCCCGCTAAGGGCACGTACCTCGGTTGCAGTTTGTCCCCGGCCCTTGTTGGTTGTGCGGGTGGCGACCACTCGATGTGTCCCTTTCACATCGATGTTTCTCTCTCTCTCTGTTCCTCTCTCTCCCTTCCACTCTACCTGAACAAAGAATGGAAAAATGTCCTCGGGTGAGGATGATAAAAAAAAAAAAGTCATGAATAGCATTGGTGGTATAGTGGTGAGCATAGCTGCCTTCCAAAGTCATGAATAAATGCTAATGTGTCCAATTTTAAAACTCCACTAAGAAAAATAGATTTCTAATGCAAGAGCATTTAAATCAGCGTTATCAAAATATTGATATATAAAGTATCCATCTTTGCCTCCCATCAAAACATGTTTAGATAGCCTTAAATTTAAACTTAACTTTTTAAACTTAATAAAATTTAAGCTTTATAAACTTTTATACTTTATAAAACTTTAACTTTTTCCAACTTATGGCTTCATTTTAAAAACCTCATATAGCCCTGGCTGGTTTGGCTCAGCGGTTAGAGCGTTGGCCTGCGGTCCAGAGAGACCCGGGTTCGGTTCCGCTAAGGGCGCGTACCTCGGTTGCAGTTTGTCCCCGGCCCTGGGTGGTCGTGCGGGTGGCAGCCACTCGATGTGTCCCTTCACGTCGATGTTTCTCTCTCTCTCCCTTCCTCACTCTCTCCCTCTCACTCTATCCGTACAAAAAAAAAATGGAAAATATCCTCGGGTGAGGATGAAAAAAAAAAACAAACACCTCATATATGAGCCTGCCCAGCGTGGCTTAGTGGATTGAGCGACGTCCCACGGACTGAGAAGTCCTGGTTCTATTCCAGGTCAGGGCACATGCCCGGGTTTGGGGCTTGATGCCCAGTAGGGGGCGTGCAGGAGGCAGCTGATCAATGTTTCTCACATAGATGTTTCTATCTCTCTTCCCTTCCTCTCTAAAAAATCAGTAAAAACATATTTTTTAAAAGTTCACATATGAAAATTATAAGATGCTTTTTGGCCAGGGTGTAGAGGACCATATTCGTCATCCACCCTGGGGGACTTTGAGAGCAACAGGGGATGCTGCTGACAATTACACTAAAACAGCAGACAACAGGAACTGTCCCGGCCAAACCAGGATTTACAGCCCCTACCAGTGGGCTGTAGTTTAAAACTTTTAAAGTTAACTTACATACTTATAAAGTATATACTTACATAAAGTTAATCTACCTATTTATATAACATATTCTTAACTTAAATCATAAGTACTAATTTTCACATTGCATGCTTTTAAAATAAAAAGAGCGAGTTCAATCATCAGGAGGTTTGCTTGCTTCTAAGCATGCAGCCAAACCTATTCAAATGTATTCAGATCTTCACAGTAAAGTCTTGTGCTCACAGCAAACTTCACTCAGTAAAAACTTCATTACCTAAAATAGGCAACACCAAGTTATTTCATGAAATCTGTCTCCATAAATAAGCCAAGAACTGCTAGCAGGCTCCTTTGTCAGAGGCTATTAGCATTTGTTGGATGGCTTTAGGCGTTCTTCTGTAGGATTTACTGCCTGATTTGGGATCTCAGTGGGGCCCCCAAATGGACCATTTATCACATTTTGTCTATGTCACCTACATAGACATCTACATCTACAAGCTGTACAGTATAAAAAACCTCACTACCTTGGAAGTGTCAACCATCTGCCCATCTATTCCACCCAGCTTCATTAATTCAGCAACTAAAAAGCAACGGCTTGGAGTGAAAACTCTAAATATAGAAAATCAAAACAAAACTTAGAGGGAATATTGATTTATCTAAACTTCTGTCTTTTAAAAAAAACTTGTAAGCACTGTTTGAGGGTATTGTTAACAATCATCTTGGTTGCTGTGGCTACTTTGGCTTAGCGGTCAGAGTGTTGGCCCTCAGACCGAAGTCGAGGGTTCAGTTCTGGTCAAGGGCACGTACCTTGGTTGCGATTCCATCCCTGGCCCTGGTCAGAATCATGTCGAAGGCAACCAGTCGATGTGTATCTCTGACATCGATCTCTCTCTCTCTCTCTCTTTTTTTTTTTTTTTATCCTCACCAGAGGACATTTTTTGTTCAGATAGAGTGGGAGGGAGAGAGAGGAAGAGAGAGAGAGAAACATCAATGTAAAAGGGACACATCGAGTGGCCGCCACCCGCATGACCCAACCAGGGCCAGGGACAAACTGCAACCAAGGCACGCGCCCTTAGCTGGAACCAAACCCGGGTCTCTCTGGACCGCAGGCCGACGCTCCAACCGCTGAGCCAAACCAGCCAAGGCGCTCGCTCTCACTCTCTCTCTCTCTCTCTCTCTCTTTCTCTCCCCCCCACCCCTTCCCTTCCCCTCACCCCGCACCACTTTATCTGAAAATCAATGGAAAAAGGTCCTCGGGTGAGGATTTAAAAAAAATAAATCATCTTGGTTGTTACCTTTTTCTAGAGATCAAATTATATGAGTCATTGTTTATGCTCCATGGCCAGTTTTTAGGAAGATGACTGTCAATCACATACTCAAACGTTACGGACCAACCACATAACCTCTCTGTTTGTCAGAGTTTTCCAGAAAAGCAGAACCAATAGGATGTGTACACATAGAGAGACTTAGTTTCGGGAACTGGCTCACACACAGGGTAGGCTGGTAGGCCCCTGGGAGACCCAGGGAAGAGCTGATGTTGTCGCTTAGGTCCAAAGGCAGACTTGAGGTAGAATTCCCTCTTCCTGGGGCTTTTCTCCTAAGGACTTCAGCACTGTAGAGACAAATCTGCTTTCCCCAAAGTCTACTGATGTGAATATTAATCTCATCTTTAAAAATACCTTCACAGCAACATCTGGACTAGTGTTTGACCAAATACCTGGTACCATGGCCTAGCCAAGTTGACAGGTAAAGTTAACCATAGGGTGGAACTGGGGCCCTAGTCTGAGATCTTACACTTGGTGACTCCTAGGGGCTGCCTCCAACAGAGACAAGCCTAGGTTCCCACACCCCCACAGGGTGGCTTGGCCATTTTATAGTTGAGAAAACCAAGTCCTAAATAAAGTTCAGTGAGTTAGTACCAATAAGTCAGGACAAGCTCTTTCCACTGTAACTCCTATCTCCACCGGGGCCTGAATTCAAGATTTATACATTCTCATTTCACTTATTTGGAATATTACAGCCAAGCCTGAGCCTATTCAAACCAGAAACTGTAGGCCAAGGAAATAAACTTTTCTCCGGGTTGAACTTGCACATTCCCGTCTCGCCCCTCCCATAACCCAGCCAGTGGACGCACACACAGGGACTTCTCTTCGAAAAGTGCTTTATTTAATAAGATCTAAGTCAGGTGCACTAAAACATATCAAAATGTTACAGAAATTCACGGCTCCCTATGAGACTTTGTCAAATTATGTGAAGATACCTAAACACATCAATTTATAAATTCAGAACCAAACATTAAACCAGGTCATGTACCTTTGCTAAAAGTCAAGTTATGATTCAGAACACTTCACAAAGCTAAAACAAGTGGAGGAAACCCTTCAGAAACACTAGCAAAAACACACGGGTAACCATCAGCCTGGGAAACAGGTCTGCGACCTGCTGGGAAGGCTCAAAAGTAAGCGGAGGCTTCCCTTCACAGCTTGTCCGTGTCTTGTGCTGTTAAAACACAGGGGGCGCTGTAACCTCCCGTGACAAGGTAACCGCTTTCAGTTACATCTGAAAGGAGTGCCACATTGATTTTTATTTGCATCTGGATAGGAGATCATTTCCCATCGCATCTGATTCAAGCAAGGCTCTGTGTAAACAACTTAAGAAGGGTCTCGACAGGCTGCTGCATCTGGGGCACTCCAGACCTCTGTCTCCTATCTCAGCTCCGTATCGTGGCTTGGTCCCTAGGAGGCTCTGAAATTCCCTGGTTCATATAGAAACGCATGTCTTGGAGATGCATCGATGACACGTGTTCTCCGTGTGCAGAGCTTTGAAATAACTGGGGTTTTTCGTTTGTCCGTTTTTTGAAGAGAGATTCTCTTTTCTCAAAACAGCTTCTTGCCCTTCTGTGGCCCGTTCCACCCTCCTGACGCTCTGAAATAACCTCCCAACTCCGCAGAAAAGGATTCCTGCCAAGACGTGTTTGCATCGGAGAACGGTTATTACTATTTTGTCATTTCTACACTGATGATAAAATGTCTTTATCTGAAGATCTCCAGGAGAGAGTACGGTTCTCTTTCTAGTAGGGAAGACAGAAGGGTGAAAATACTTCTCCTTGAAGTCTCAGACCAAAATCTCAACCTCAGGTCTCAGCATTTTTCACGTGGACGGGTGGCCAATCTGAGATCCTCACACCTCAACCTCAACTCCCAGTTCAAGTCTGTGGGCCTGGAGACCAGCGTGCACGTTCCTCACCAGTGCGCGGCCACGCCCACCCTTTGTGCTTTTCAGTCCCTCCCCCCCCCACCCCTGCCCCCTCTAACTCATTCCCTTCCCACTAATGTGATCACAGAGAATGTGACCTTGTGCCTAATTCCACCATCACCTTGGGGACCCAACCCCCTTCCTAGCCAGATGGACTCAGGTTTTTCTTCATTTGATCACCTTGTAATACAAGCCCCCGGTGAAAGAAAGCAGTAGTGGCCATACTGCTTTTCACAAGTTAGGGGGTAAAAAAAACTATAAATCGGCCTTTGTTCTTCGCACGATTTCAGGTTCATTGCACACAATTACGTAAACCCACACAAATCAGTGGAGAAGTTCAAAGCTGCAGGGCCATGTGATACCAATGAGAAAATCCAGCTCCACACCGTGGAGGAGCGTCTGTGTCAGCTGCTGCTGTTTCAAAGAACCTTTCCAAAATTCCTGCTCGGTTATTAAGGATGTGAGAAATTATCTCTGAACAGGCCGGGCCAAGCTGGAAATGTGTGGCCAGCAGTAAATGGAATGTATTGTGTAAGATACGATTTCCCTCATTTCCATCCCAACCCCCCATCTTTAAAGAGCCAAGTAGAGCTTAGTATTTCCTTCGAAAGGGATCTGGCAAACCTGACATTTTACATTTCCACACTTAACACTACCGTAGTGCTAGTGCAAATTAAAGAGAACTTTTATAAACCAGGAAAAGCTGTCCAATGAAAGTTAGTGGTTAGTATTTGCTTGGTGGAAATTCTTCTCCCCGGTTCTCCAAGGAGAGTTATTGGGGCCAACAAAGTCTTTGAGCACGCAACATAAAAATAACTGGAAGAGTTTTCCAACTCATTTCTCATATGCAAAACTCAGGAAGCACGTTTGTATTCGCAAAACTGCTCTTTCTCATTGGTGACAAAGGAAGCCTTCCCTCCACCCTTTGTCCTCGATTCTGTGCATTTTGCAAAGCCCACTGAGGTGTTTGAGACTCAGGGCCTCCGGATTTCCACTGGGCTGGCGGTGCTGTCCCAACAAAGGTCGTTGGTTTGACTGGCAAAATGCCAGATGGCAGCATGCCATCTTTTTGAAAGTTAACAATAAGACCACAGCTGTGAGCTATCTAAAGAGGCCACAAAGGCCACAGGGGTGGGAAGGGAGCAGGTGGGACATGGGGCAAGAACAGCTCTGCTGCAAAGCTCCACCTTCCTTGCAGGTACGGATCAGTGGTTCTCTTTCCCTCAACTGGCCAGCTCTTCAAACATTCTTGGAGAGGGCGTGGAGAAGAGATGGGAAGCGTCCCTACCCCAACAAAATTCAGACACCTGCTGTCAGGAGCTCCTGGCTTTGCCTGGTTGATCTCCCCGGCCAGGCACCCTTCTCCAAGCATCTGTCTGTCCTTCTTCAAACAGTATCAGTCACACGGGCATCCAGGTGCCCCGCAAGCTTTCCGACGCAGGCCACAGGGGACAGACTCTCCCTGCGTTTTTTCCCCAGCTGGGGTCTGCTCTGAAGATCACCGAGGTGGCTGCACAGAGAAGCTGAAAGAGAAGCTCTGTCCTCCCTCTGCACCTGCGCAGGGCAGCCCAAAGCGCTGCCCTGAACCACACTCGGTCAGCAGCAGGACAAGTCCTCGTTCTTGGAGTCCCTCTCCACAAGGCAAGGACACCTTGCAAGAATCCAGCCTTGGAAAGAATAAAGCCTTGACTCCAGACACACAGAAGTGCAGCTTCAAGTGCAGGAGCCCCTTGACGATGTGAAACGGGCTGGGCCCACAGGCATGTCATGTCTGCAAGGAGCCTCTACATTTCCCTAAAGAGGCACACTTCCTGGCCACCACCAGAACAAGCCCAGGCCCGGGTCACACTAGCCGGTCAGTGCCATGTGCAAACCAGCAAGGCCTGTTTCATGAGATCCTTCCTTCAACTCGAGGAGGCACCAAAGAGTTGGGGTCAGCAGCTTGGTGGGCTGAGAGGAACATCGGGCTCCCCTCCTGTCTCCGAGAGGCGGCCATGGGCGAGGACAAGACAGAGTCCATTCTCTACAGGCATCCACATAGATCACCACATACCTCTTTGTTATTTCAAACCAAACTTTCCAGTGTACATACTTGTGGGCTTATTGCATCTACCCCACTGATGGTTTTCTTTCTCTTCCCATCAGACCTGCCCAAACACATGGGGCTGCTGCTCTGTTAACTTCCAAGGATCTCACATTCACAGGCAGACAGGGAGAATCTCTGTAATATGAGTACCCCAGTGTGAGCTTGCTGAGCCCCCTTCTCCTCCCAAACATGGGCAAACATGTGTGGCTGCTCCCAGGCACTTGAGGGGAGACATTTTTTCTTCAGGATAAAACCCCTCAGATTGGTGACTCCCCTGATTTTCCTGCCCATGAGCAGCACATCCGCCAGCCTCATGGCACTCGTGCTGGTTGCTTGGAATTTAATTGCATGTGAATATATGAGGCAGGCACGTGGACATGTACATGTGTGCGGACACGCGTGTGCACGCACACACACATTTTGGGTCCTCCTTAAAACAGAAATCAAAGATCCTTGTGAATGAAACAAAGAGAAGAGCGGGGGTCCAAGGGTGGGGAGCTGTCCACTGGCTTCCCCATCAGGCAGTACGCGGTGGCTTGTCGGGAGCTGGAGAGGCTTAAATGCTTCTGTGGAAGGAAGGCACCTGGCTTCCTGTGGGTCTTCCTCATGTCAACGGCGGCCACTGTGGTGTCTGGATCCCCTCTGACCTGTGGCTCAGATGGTCTCTGGGGTCTCGGCTATCTCCTCCAGCCTCTGCCGAATCATGAGCCGCAGCACAGTGTACCTGGGGACAGAAACACCCGTGGTGGAGAGCAGAAAGCAACACACACCTCCTCTTGACCTTACTTCCCAACCCAGGTCACAGTGTGGGCCACTGTCCTGTCCCTTTGCTTCGGTCAGAGGCCCACCCTTTAGCCACATGGCTGCTTGTGTTCATTTCCACAGGATGAGAGGGACTGAGGGGCTAACTCCAAACCAGATTATTTTACTATAGTTAGAAAGTCTGGCAGAGAAGGATGAGAGGAAGAAATAACAACAGAAACAATAATAAGGGTTCCGTTACCTGAGTGCTTACTATGCCCAAGGCACTGCGCAGACCTTCATATGCACCATAGCATATAACCCTCACCTCGGCTAGCCCGCATGAAATGACCATTATTTGACTATTGGGTGGGGGGCTACAAAAATGACACTTCATATGATTCAACCTGATATCAGTTCCTGCATTTTGCAGAAGAGGGGCCATAGCCACTCCAGGCATGGAGGTCCAGGCTCGTTGATGCGCAGGTATCTCCACCCCTTCCCCGAACTATGGCAACGCAAATACTGGAGTAGGCACCCTTGTGCGAGGCAAAGGGGGACATATTTTATGCTCAGGGCTGTGCACTGCACAGCAGAAGTTATTTTTAAAGTTTGATGCACACCCTGGCTGGTTTTGCTCAGTGGTTAGAGCATCAGCCCACAGACCAAAGAGTCGCAGGTTTGATTCTGGTCAAGGGCACGTACCTCAGTTGCGGTTTGATCCCTGGCCCTGGTTGGGGTCATGCAGGAGGCAACCTGTCAAAGTGTCTGTCACATCAATGTTTCCCTCTCCCCATCTCTCTCTCTCCCTCCCACTCTATCTGAAGATCAATGAAAAAATATCCCCAGGTGAGAATTAAAGAAAAAAAAGTTTGGTGCATGGTAAGTATTCAATAAATGTTAACTATTACCATGGTTGTTATTACCATTGACACAGCAAAAATAGCATTGGCTTTATTCTCTAGTGGCAAAAATCAATCAATTGTTCCACCAGATCCAAAAAGCTCGTTCTACTTTATGACTGTGCATAGCACACATACACAAAAACAATCATAAAATCCTCTCCAGAGAGAAGTTTTACTGGAGTTATCTACTGAGATGTAATTTCCACAAGAGAATGTTAAAAGTGGAGGAAGGGTTCGAGGAAAGGACTTCAGAGGTAGGCTGCTCAGGCTACTTGTCACTGCTAAGACAACCTCCCAGAACATGTCTGTCTCACATCAAAATGAGCAGCTGACCAGAGAAGCAGAAAGACCAAGACACTGAAGCTTTGAATCCAGTCGAGATCTGGATTCATCAAAGGGAAGGCCCCTGATGAAGGTCCAGAAGACCCAGGCTTATGCGGCAGCTCGGCCCCCTGCAAGGCACCTGCACAGAGAGCCCTCCCACTGAGGCCCCAGGGGAAACCCACCAGCCACCAGGGGGCCAGGCTTACTTGCGCATCAGCTTCTTCACTTCCCGATCTTCCTCCTCTTGGAGCTTTTGAATGAAGCTTTTAAGAACAGGCATCTCGAATTTTATATACTGGGCCACCTGGGGAGGAAGAAGTAAGTCTGGGGTGCCTGCCTCCCCCCGGCACTATTCAATGCCTTTTGGCGTCTCTCTCACGTAAGGCCTTGGGGAATCTGTCTGCACTGCTCCAGGATTTCCGTAAGGCAGGAGCTAAGCGTCATTCTTCACAAGGCTGGTGGTCTGCAGTGAAGGTCCCTTCGCTGACAGGACACATATCTCATAACCTGTCATTTCTCATCCCATGTATTGAATCCATGCTGAGGTGACGTCAGACACGGAACAGCACTTTCTCCTGACTCCATGATACACAGAAAGACCTGAACCCACGATATTTAATACACTCTCTGCTCTCCCTTTAGATCATTTAAGGAACCATTACTCGGAATGATAACTATGTCTCGGGTCTGAAACAAGCATCCAAATGTGAACTTGATCTTGAAAGGCTGTGGAGGTGGGGTGGCTCCGAGGTGAGCTGTTCCTTCCTCCCCCAGCAGAACCCCCACCCTACTCTGTCTCCTCTTCTCCACAGGAGAAGTGTATTTCTCTGCCCTCTTCATGCTGGACTTGGCTATGTCACCTGCTTTGGCCAATGGGATGTGTATGGACAGGCCATACAACAAATCGGAGTGCAGGCTTCAAATGAGCTTACATGGTTTGGCCTGGTCTCTTGCACCCCAGCCACCTGCCTGAAGAATACCCCGGGTAGCCACTGCCCCTTGAGCCTGGGTCTCTGAGTGAGACATGCGAGGCAGACCCTCAACCCACAGCCTAGAGCGCAGCCGCTGCCACCAGTCTGCAGAATCCTGAGCAATCCTGTCAGCGGCTAAGATTTGGGGATGTTTCTTACTGTAGTAAAAGCTGACTAATACATAAGATATGGTAAAATCACCACTAACTTCTTGAAGTTGCCAAGAGAGGATTTGCAGAAACTGTTTGGCCATCTTACAGTACCCCAGGAAGGCTCAAGACACGTATTCCATCCATGGAGACCACTTTGTTCCTCAACATTCCTCCAACAACTCCCACAGGGCATACCCTCAACCTCGTCTCTGCATCCATTCTCCTGGCCCTACAGCCATAACTGCTTCAACAAAACCTTGTACAGAATGGCAACAAAATGGGGCATGGTCCTTGACCAAAAAGGTCAAGCTCTACCCCAGGTGCAGGTAACCCCAAACAAACCCCCACCCTCCTGAGGACAGTCCATCAACTAAAAGGGGACTCACGTCATAGGTGACTTCCTCCACCTGGTCCTTCTCCATAAGGAACACTTTGGAGACCTGCTCACATGGGCCCTGGAGGATTCGGGCAATCAACGGGTAATCGGTGTTCTTCAGCTTCTGTTTTTCTGGAACCACACACAGCCAGGAGCAGCCCTGAGTTAGACTTGAGGACTTTGTCACCATAAGCTGAGGTCAACTCAGGGGCCCAGATGGACCAGGCACCTTAGGAGATGCGGCCATATAAGTCAGGAGACTGATTTGCAAATGAACAAATTCAGTAAGTGTTGTTCAATGCCACTGTTCCCTCTCCTCTCCCCAACAACACCCCCATGCCTCAAACCCTTTGGAAGATGCTACCACGGAGAAATCGGTTGTGTCTGTCCCTCGAGAATCCAGTTCCTTTTGAAGGCAGTTAGGTTTCAGGGTTTGTTTACTGACCACATCTGGCATTCCACCAGTTGTGGAGGCAAACAGCATTTGAAAGTTTCCAAATGGTAAACAACAAGCAAACGAGGAAGAGGGTGTTTTTGTTTCTAACTTGCTATTTTGAGTTAATTAAAAGTCTTCAAGCACACTGTGTTCTTCAGACTTACCACCGCTGGTATGGACCACGTACAAAGCAAACTCCTCCGCCGAATTCTCAATCTGAATCAGGAGCAAAAGATGCTTGCTGAAAGCAGGCATTGCACAGCGAACTCTGAGCCATTCCTGCCTTATCACTGCAAAGCTAAATAGATTTTAGGCTCTTTGAGTTGAAGGCTATTTACCTGCAGTTCTCAGAAGTGATAAGGAAATGGGATAGCAGATAACATCATCAGTAATAACAGACTGATTAAGAGCTAACATTTATTGGACAGGGGAGGTGTTTCTACACACTTTACATTTTAACCCACCTAATACAATGGCCCCAAAACGGAGTCCTGTTACCCTCATTTTAAAGATGAGGAAGCAGAAGCACGGGGAGCTTAAGGAAATTGCCCAACTCATCCAGCCAGCAAGTAGGTGATGGACCAGGATTTGAACCCAGAGGCTGGGCCTCGAGGCCACCAGGTGACACTGGCTTCTATTAAAATGAGAATACCTGGTCTCCCAAAGATTTACAGTAAGGGGAATGCGGAAAACATATAGAGTAACAGGACTTTAAAAACAGCCATACACTATAATTTGCACATCTATTGAAGGTTCATTTTCAAAACAGACTCCCCAACGATGTTCCAGAAGTTGATTTGTGCACAGGACCCCAAACTAGTTGTCAGGCCTGTGGTCCTTTCAGTGGCCCATAAAGCCCCCGAGGGCTGGTGCCTCTCAGGCTTCTGCGGCACCAGAGTTCCCCGCAAGCCTCGTGGAACAGGGGCTCTGGCCTCGCATCCTAGCTTCGGATTCAGACCATCTGATTCAGGGGTGGGGCCTGAGAACCTGCTTTTCTAACAAGCTCCAGGTGATGCTGATGCCTGAGGTCTAAAGAACTCAAACTTCTGCCTAGTTTGCTCTCACGACACGCTCGCCACAACCCCCACCTCCGCACCCCTGGCCCCGTCTGAGGCCAGCACAGGGAACTTGCCTTAAATTTGTTGAGCAGCAGCTTCAGGACCTGTGGGGTGGTCATGGTGCTGTTGATGCGGACGTTGGTGACGGAGCCATAGGCCGGGGTAAACACTGACGTCTGTCAAACAGAGGGGTCCAGCTCAGAGTGGGAGTGGGACAAGGATGGGGTCTAACACCCAGGAGTCCCACCCGGTCACCTGAGGTAAAGGACACAGGGACAATCGCACTCAGTCTGTGCCCTGCCAGCCTCTGAATAACAAACGACCCTCAGCTGTGCCTCACTCGGAGCTCGAAGGGAATGAGATCTCCAAGTGGCAGGGCTGGGGAGGCGGAGAGGGCTACATAGGGAGGCCCTCTCTCCCAATAAAACACGCGCAAAGTCCCTTCCCCTGTGACGTCAACGTGAGGACTTTGACCACTCTCCCACAATGCACCTGCTTCTGGGGCCAGATCTGAGCCAGGCAGTGGGAGGGAGGGAGGGTCTACCTGAGGCGGGGCAGGTGGCGTCCTAAGGCCCACTGCTCTGAGTCCCGCAGCTCTGCTTCGGGGCTGCCCGTAGCTCATGGAAGTCAGACCACACACAGGCTGGGAGGCACACGGTGCAGGAAGAGGGTAACACCAGAATTTGCTGATATCCAATGAGGGGTGTCTGTGGGATCATCTCACCCACCACCTAGGGGCTCTCCTGCTCTGGGATCCCTTGTTCCTCAGAGAGCCAGCAGCCCACCCACAACTCATAGAGTGAATAGCGGACACTTGGCTTCCCCGGTGTCTGTAGCCCTAAGGGGGCAGCTGCCTAGGAAGGAGCTTTGTCCACCTTCAGGCTGCCCCCTGCCCCCCACCACCCCATCCCCTCTACCTTGTGGTTGTAGAAATGGCCATTGATGGAGAAGCGGTGGCGTCTGATTCGTCGCTGGTCACTGGGTGTCCTCACATTGCCGCGGCGACGCACCCCAACATCACTGCGTGTGCGCATCAGCTGTGGGGTGTCTTCCTGCACAGGTTTCAGGCCCCTGGAGTCTGAGAGGGCAGGGGGAAATGCTGTCTGCCTGGACCCAGCATGTGGCAGCTGGTACATGGTACCCTCTTGGTGGCCAACACGGTAGCATCCACCACCTCCGCAAAAATATATTTTATAAAATCAGTATTTTATGCTGGGGGAAAACACAATGCATAGTGTACCGAGACTCAATACAGTGACAAGGTTCACAGCCCAGTCTTCTAGTCAGACTCCCAGATTCAAATCCCAACTCTAGCACTGTTATATATCACTAACCTCTCTTGCCTCAGTTTCCTCATCTATCAAATGGGGGTGATAATAGCACCCACCTCATGGGATTGTTGTGAGGGTTTAAATGAGTTAATTTATGTAAAGCACTTAGAACAGTGTCTGGCACAGGATACGCATGATGAGAGGACTTGCAATATATTGCAAACTATCTATCAAAATTATAAATGCTTATAGCCTCAGGCCCAGCTACTCCTCTTCAAAGAGTCCTGCAGACACAGATGAATGTGCAAAATGACACATCTACAAGGCCACCGACTGCAACCTTGTTTGTCACAGCAAAAGACTGGAAATAACTTAAATGTCTATCAACAAGGAACGATTACGGAAATGGTCATTTTTCCGTACAATGGAATACTGCGGAGCTAAGAAGAACACGGACGTGCTTTATGGATTTGTTTGAAGCAAGCCTCGGGACAAACTGATAAACAGAAACAGGGATATGCAAATGCCACCCTTTATATAAAAAGGGAAGAAAAGAAATGGCATTCCATCGTAAAGGTTTGTGGGTATGTATTTGCTTATGTTTGCAAAAAATATCTCAGGGGGATGCCTTAAGGTTGCTTCTTGGAGGGAACTGCAATAATGAGTAGATGAAATGGAAAACTTTTCATTCTTATTAATATTTCTGAATTCAAAAAACAAATAACAGTTTACAATGTCTATTACATCAGTCTTCGCACAGTTGGCCCTAAACCGGAGGCTCCTCCCACATGCAGGTACCTGTGGGGCTTGACATCTGGTCACTCTCGGCTGGAGCGTCCACCTCTGTGATCTGAATGTCGGGCATGGTGAGGGGCTTCAGGATAGTGCTGGGGGCAGAGAGCAAACAAAAGAGAGGCTGATTCAGCCCCTTGGGGAGACGTCCCCACTCCCACCTCACCCCACTCCTGCACAGGGAGCACTTTGCTTGTGCCGGGCCGAGGACCAACACACATCAGGTGACAAAGGATTTGGGTGGGCTCTGCTGAGTGTCCCATGAGGCTGGCTCAGCTCCAGGCTGAGCACTGAGTAGGGAGGGGGAGGGGTCTGGAGGGAGAAGATGCTCATTCTCAGCAGCTACAGCAACAGAAGCACTCAATTCATCAAGCCCAGCATGGAGAATAGAAAAGAGCAAAATCCACCTGTTCCCTGTACTGAGTTTCTAAGCCTGTGCGGGTTCTCTAGCTATTTGGAAGTCCCCAATAATGGCCATTTATTTCTCTGGACAAGATTCCAGTCTGATCCACTTCTGCTGGAGGAATAACTCAGAAATGGCTTCTAGCATCTAAAAGGAATGGGGAGTAATAGGCTGGCTGCCACGCGGGTCAGGGTGGCTTTGGAAGGGGTGCGGATGACAGCATTCTGGGGTTGCAGGGACTGAGCAGGGCTCGTGAGCCACGCTGGAGAAAGGGCCACACGCAGGCAGTCTGAGCTAACGCCTCAAAGCCAAAAAGGACAATGGGAGCAGCCCAAAGAAACACCCAAAATCAACACAGGACTTTCCCAGAAAATTAAGACCATCCTATGGTGAGAACAGCATAGACTCCCTGGGACCCAGCAGACAGACTGGATTCACGTTCGGAAAATGATAGTTTTAAGGGAAGACCATTAAAATGGAAAATCTGAAGGAACTTCCTATTGCAGTATAATCCGTGGACTTCCTGACCCCAGAATGGAACCGGTCAGAGCCCCTCGGGAATGGTGAACGCCCGGCACCCACGCCTCCTTCGTCCAAGGCCCTCTTTCTTGCTGAAGCAGAAACTGGTCTCAGTGGTCCGGGCATTCACTTTATTATATTCATGATTTATAGTCCTGAAAACTTGCTCACCGTATCTGCAGGTTTTAAGAACCAACCAACACCAGCTTGAGGCCATAGGGAAGGGAAAAGAAACAAGTATGCGGAGGGAAGAACGCTTTCGCGGGTCCAGCCAAGGGCCGCATGGTCCACTGGAATTTCAAAAATCGTCTCACTTATGTAACCTAGTCTGGGAGTCGGCTGGGGCTGTGGACAGGGTTCGGCCCATTGGAAATCAAGAGCAGTAAAAGTACTCAACGCACAGCAGACAGTGAAACCAGATGAAATCAAAGAGCCACGACCGGAATCCCAGCATCTGGTGGGATGGGCAGACTTTCCTCCTTAAATTCCCTTGGAAAACAAGCAGATCCGCTCCAGGGCTTGGCCACAATATGGGTTCCTCTCAACTTTACAGAAAGATAGCTTCAGCTGTGCAGTTTAACAAAACGTTCCATGTGGCCAACAGAGAGGGTTTGGTTCTCATTTAAAGTAGAAGAAAATATCACTGTGGTTTTGGCTGAGAGGTTGGCATGCTCCACCCGTGCTCTGGCCAGAAGGCAGTCGACATCAGCAAATTTCAAGGTGGAACAAGGCTAGTCACTTGACCCTAAAAACTGAAGTCCCAGGCGAGGCGGACAGTGAGGAGGGTGCGCCTTACCAGATGCAATCAGCTATTCATTTGGTGGCGGAGGGTGGGGAGGAACAGGCTTGGTCTTCACGGATCTTCCTGTGGGGGCTCAGAGGAGGGGACCTCCCAGACTACTGACCATCTGCCACCACCCACCTCGCGTGGCTGGCTTGGACAGGGTCTGACATTCCTTTTCCTTTCCAGGTTCCCCCAAGACACAGAAGGCTCTGGTCAGAAGGTCCGAGCCCCAGATGTCTCCAGAGTGGGGTCTCTCTATCAGGTGGTCCCGATGGGGAGGACGCCGGGGCATCAGGTGTCCCGTCAGAAACCTGCAGGCCGGGCCTGGCTGGCCGCTACCAGCCCCTCTCCGAGACTCGGGACTTCTCCACTAGGAGGACACACTGCTCACCCAGGCTTTGGTGCCTCTGACTCGGCAGCTCCCTCCTCCCTTGACTGCCCCTCAGTGATTATGGCGAGAGCTGCGGAAGTCTGATCACATCAAGGTCTGCCCCTTTCTCCTCGTCCCAGAGCAGAGCAGGCGGGCCGGGGAGAAGGTAGGAACAAGAGCTGGGGTCAAGGCTGGCTGAAGAAAATGGCATCTGCCTGCTCAAGCACACACAGAACCCCCAGACACCTCTAGTCCCATCTCTCCTCACTCACTGTGTCCCCAAGTTACAGCCAGAGTGCCAGGAGGAGGAGGAGGGAGGGGGGCGAATGCGCTCGTTGTCATCCTGCATCTGCAGACGGATGGGCCGGCGCAGCCCCCAGGAGATGTTCAGCAGCCCCTCCACGATGAACTCATCTTCTTCCTGCCCACAAAGCAATTGGTGCGATGAGTACGGAAGAGCCCTGCAGAAGCCAGCGCCACGGGGGAGGACCATATCCCAGCGGGATGCACCTGAGTCGTGTCCACACCCAGCTCCCAGATCCCCTCTACTCTAACCCACCCTGAAGCCCTGAAGGTGGCCTCACAGGTCAGCATACAAGTTGCCTCGAAATTCAAGTATACATGTGCAAATGATAAGAATGGAGTGTTTTTGTTTTGTTTTTTATCCTCCCCTGAGGATATTTTTGCACTTATCTTCAGATAGAGTGGGAGAGAGAGAGGGGGCAAGAGAGAGAAACATCGACATGAGAAAGACACATTGACTGGTTGCCACCCACACAACCCCAGCCAGGGCCGGGACGAACTGTAACCAAGGTACGTGCCCTTAGCGGGAATGAACCTGGGACTCCCTGGTCCGCGGGACAATGCTCTAACTACTGAGCCAAACCGGCCAGGGCTGGAGTGTTTTTTATACTAATGACTGTAAAGAAAGAAGAATACATCTCTTAAAGTAAGTGAGCCTGTCTTTGCTAACAGAACCAGCTGTTCCCCCGCCCCTACTGTGGAAAACAACACCTTTAGCTACAACATACATTTAGCATCTGACCTACTGGTTGAAGGAGATTTAAAGTAACATTTCTCCAAGTTTATTCTACAGAATATGCAGAATACCTAGCAGAATACAGAATCCTCTAGCAGATCAATGGTTACCTTTAAAAGGGCGTCACATGATCATGCATTAGAAGATCTATGTTAAATCAGATCTCTTAACAGCAGAACTTCCCAGAACCTATAATAAAATAACGTGCTACATTATAACTATCCAAGAGGTGAATAAATCTTGCAAGAATTCCAAATTTATACCCAAGGGTGGTTCACTAATAGAAAGCTAAATGTGAAACCCTTCTAAGGACATTTGCATGATCCAGAGAAATGGATCTCACTTATGATCATGAAACTCTTTAATCACCAAGCATTTTGAGAATTTATTCCACAGAACATACCCTGGAAAAGCTATTCAAGGACTAAAATCTTGTTAATGGCCCAACCACTAATTAGTAGAAGTTTTGAGGTCAATGCATAAAAGAGTCAAGCCTTCTTTTCCAAGTCTCAGAAAACTCTTTTGGGGGTCAGGACCACAGACGTCAGACCTGGGCCACGGACACATCTTCAGGACAAGCCCCATAATATACCTGTCCAGTGGACAACCAACCTGTGCCCCAGGATCATCCTTAGAGAAGGAGGGGACTAAAATAACACAGGAGAAGAACGTAGCAACTTGAGGACATTTGTGGATCTTGGAGAGAAAAGCTTTATTTAAGTACAGGCTATATATTTGGCCTTCTAGATAGTCAAGGCTGGCATCATTACTTTACATTACATTCTTATAGGATAGAATTTACCCCAAAGTAGGGCTTTGCCTGAGTGGACTTGTTTGAAGGACACAGAAAAGGCCACTGCATCCATATACTATCCCCAACCAGCCCACCTTAGTAGCTGAAATTCTACCATCTGGTATCTTTTGCTATGGATTAAAACACCATGGCTTGATAACCTGAAAATGTGTTTAGAGGGGTATTACACATACTTCTTATCAGTCAAGAACACTTGAGTATAAATTACTCTGCCAGGCTCCTATATAACTCACCATCTATCTGATAACAGGCTTTACAGAAATGGATACAGGATGAGTAAGCTTAGATGCAGGCTGGGGGCTGGGGAAAGACAGATGGATAACAAACAGCATTCCAAGAAGGCACCCTAGGAAGGCTGCTGCAGTTGTGGAGAAACGTGAGGGGGACCACCCAGAGCTTAGGTGACGTACCCGTGTTCCTGCAACAAAGGACACGGGCCCGAATGTGTAAGCATAGAGGACTGGGAAGTACCTGGATTACCCACAATGAAGAAGCTTGTTTGAGAACCATCTGAAAGGGTTATTTTATAAAAGCTTCTCTTTGAAGGATTCCCCCTAGTGAGGCTTGTGCTAGCCGACCACATATCAAGGAACATCTCTGAAACAGAAAAGCTTGCCCTTTTTGGAACAACTTTGGACCTGGGGTCTCCTTCCAAAGAACTCCAGGATCTCCCACTAATATCCTAAATGAGAGGCCACTCACTGTGACAGGAGGGACAGAGAGAGGACACAGGGCCCCTCAGGCTCAGGACATATGGAGACAAAGACTGGGCTGGCCCACCAGAAAAGGAGCCTCCCCTGCCTCCCTGGGCACCCTCACCTCACGGTGTCGGAGCTGCAGGTTCTGGCCTTCATAGTACAAGTTGTAGGTCTTCAGATGCAGGAGAAGCTCATTCCTTAGGGGAAAAAATACAAGAGGCAGAGGTGAAGCCACTTATAATGCAGTTGTTCTTCTTCTCACCTCTAACCTGGCCTCAGTCACCCCAGTCTGGGTGCTTGTCAACACGTGTGTACACACGTACACACACGGAGTCCTACCACCACCCCCATCACCATCTTCCCCCAGGATCCAGATCAAGAGTAAACACCACCTGGAGCAGACAGAACACAAAGAGCGACTCTGGAAAACCAAGGCAGGCCTGTGTGCTGACGAAGCTGGCCCCTCCGACGATACTGCTGAAACCCGAGCTGAAGAAGCAGTCCTGAGCGAGCCCCAGGCTCACAGAGGCAAACACCCTCCAGGGCCCACAGACAGGCCTCCTGCCTCTCGGCCTCTCCTCCCTCGCGCATGCTGGGAGTTAGGAGAAGATAACTACTGCAGGCTTTTTTCACAAGACTCAGAAAAGTCTAGCCTTTTAAGAAAGTTAAAAGGGCGCTGGCCGGTTTGGCTCAGCGGTTAGAGCATCGGCCTGTAGTCCAGAGAGACCCGGGTTCGGTTCCTGCTAAGGGCACGTGCCTCGGTTGCAGTTTGTCCCCGGCTCTGGTTGGGTTGTGCGGGAGGCAGCCACTCGATGTGTCCCTTTCACGTCGATGTTTCTCTCTCTCTCTCCCCCTCCCACTCTATCTGAACAAAAAAATGGAAAAAAAAAAATGTCCTCGGGTGAGAATAAAAAAAAAAGTTAAAAGGGACAGGTCTGGTCCCACTGACGTATGCTTCATGGACCTGACCTTATCATGTGTTTAAAAACTTAAACTCCCATCAACAGTGGAATGGATAAATAAAGGCAGCTATAGTCACACAATGGGATAGTAGATGGCAATGAGAATATGAATAAACTACATACAACATAGATGAATCTCACAGATATTGCGTTGAGTAAAAGCTGGACACAAAAGAGCACATATTGTATGATTCCATTCATATAATGTTCAAATTGGGTGTTAGAATTCAGGATAGTGGTTCGCCTTGGGAAGCAGTGGCTAGAAGTGGGCATGAGGGGGTTTCTGGGCCCTGGCAATATTCTATTCTAGGTGCTTTTGGTTTATTAAAAATAATTTTTTTAACTTACAAGTCTCCTCTGAAGTCTGGTACCAGGCCTTCTTAGCTGCTAAATACTAGTTTCCAGGTGTTCTCCCGGGGGATGGGGAGGTTGGAGGGCTTCACCCCTTTGTGATCGGGGCGAGCCCTCATCAAACCTGAGAGCAGCCTGGTGGAGTTTTGTGTAAAGGGCGTGGTAGTGCATGAGCGCTGGGAGGGAGAGAAGCTTGGGGAGGCTGCTGTGTGCTTTTGCCTTTTCTCAGACAAGGGCAATGCAGTTTGGTCCCTCTAAACCCAGCCATTCAGCAGAGATATTTGGGGCCATGCCAGAGGTCAAAGCTGCTGGAAATTCCAAGAAGCTCCTGACAAGCTAAACCCAGATAAGCTGGAGGAATTCTGCGCATGCCGAAACGAACTGGTGAAAAATGTGGCTCTAAATAACCTAAAACAAAAACTGCCTGGTACTGCTGAACACAGATCCGAAAGCAGGATGCGAAAGCACTGGTCAGTAGAAGCCCCTGGGGAAGCCCTTCATTGAAGCGCTAAGAGGGATCCACAGCTCACACAACTCTGTCTGCAGTTGGCCAAGGGTGTCTTAAAAAATTAGTCCAATTTGGACTCAGAAAAACTAAACATTTAGTTAAGATAGAGAGCATCCAGTAGGTGCAAATCCCTGTGCTGGATGTAAAAATATATCCTGAAACTTCTCATTCGAAAACGTCCATGTTGGCTCAGCCCCATCCCATTAGCAAATATCTGTGTTCCAGAGATTTTATTGCCTATAAAACAATGGCGCTGTCTCCTCCTGTTCAGGGGGAAGAACTGTGATGTAGCCAGAACCACAGCAGCACAGGGCCACACTCAGCTGAGACTCCCCCAGAAGATACCACAGACAGGACAGTGAGCAGCCACCACTAAGTCCTCCTCTGGAAGCCCTCTAGGACACCCTTTCTTTTGAGCTTTCAAAGGTACCATGTCTTAAAGGCCTCCTTTAGTTCACTCTCTATGGCCAGGCTCTGGGAACATGTTACTGTACCTGGAGCAGCAACCTTCCTAATGCTCTTACTAGTTCACCCTCAGCTCCTTAGCTCTTTCTCACACACAGGAGCCCCAGCTCTCTCACAGACAGGCGAGGCATCTCTGCCAGTGGCTTCCATCCACACAGGACTGGCCACTGGGGACACGACACTACAGCAAAAAGTCTTACTTGGAAATGTATTTATCTTTCCCACATGGGACTAGGGAAGTTTGGTGACTGTAGTCCATTCTTCTTTCCTCTTTTCATCAGAAGGAGAGACCTGTATTTGAAAGAAGACAGAGGATAGAGTCAGGTTGTGTCCTCAGGGATCAGCAGAACTTGAGCCAGGGGACAGGGCCATGTGGCTCTCTGGCCCCTTTCCAGATCCACAGTTTGGGCAGCTCAGTGGTGACCCAGGCTAGACAGATGCCACACTGCTGGCTGCTGCCTCTGCTTGCTACAGCCTCTGAGAAAAAAGCACCCAAAGAAGATGACAACCATTTGTCAGCTCCAGAACAACTGCCCGAGCCACCGAACGTTGATACCCAACCTGGTTCCAAGGAAACCAGTGGGTCTTCCCTGAAGAGACCTTCACAACACAGAACAGAGATTTATCTGATAGGGCAGGCTCAGGTTCCACTGAGCCATACTAAAGATCGGTAAACCTCCTAAAAATGCCCAAATAGAGCTGGGCACAATAAATCACAGCATATATATCTATAATCACCATTAAAATATGATACTGTGAAGGCAATTTAATTACCTGGGAAAATGATAATACATCATGAAAACACAGGCTACAAAACTATGAGTCCAATTTTGTTTAAAATATATGTAAGCATAAAATATGCATATATATACACTTATTTGAATAAGTATAAATTCAGATTTCAAATACACACACACATACACATATAGTCAGGCCTCAACATTATCGATAGGTTCTGCAACTTTAAACAAAGAGATGTATAATAAAACAAATTTACCATCGGCTAATTGATATAAACAAGAGTTAAGTTCCTAAGGCTTTTATTTCATCAACATTATAATAAAATGCCATTGAATGAAATGACATTATTTGAGGACCTGCTGTGTGTGTGTGTGTGTGTCCTCTCATATATGTATATATACATATATATATGTCAAGATTTCTCAACCTCAGCACTATTGACATTTAGAACTACGTCATTCTTTGTTGTCCTGTGCATTAGAGGATGTTTAGCAGTATCCCTAGCCTCTACCCACTAGATGCCAGCAGCTATATCCAGGTCATGAATCAAAACTGTCTCCGAACATTACCAAGTGTCCCCTGGGCTACACTGCCCCAGCTGAGAACCCCTGGCATATGTATATCAACAAATGAAAAAGTGGCTGTCACTAGGTAATGGAATTACCAGAAATTTATCAAACTTTTATTATTAGAATTTTCAAACATAAAGTTGAAGAAATAAGACAATAAGTAGCCATGTACCCATGGTTATTCTACCCTTAACATTTACTATCCTTACTTTATCACACCTGTCCATCTATACATGCCTTTATCCATTTAACAATCCATCTTATTTTTTATGCATTTTAAAGTAAATTACACACCAAGCAAATCTTAGAGATTTATTTAAGAAGGTAGAAATCATACCAAGTATCTTTTCTGACCAAAAAGGTATGGAACTACAAATCAATAGTAGGAGAAGTCAGAAAATCCACAAATATGTGGAAATTATACAACATACTCTTGAACAACTAATGGGCAAAAGAAGAAATCAAAAAGGAAATAAAAAAATATCTTGAAACAAAAATTGAAACACAACATACCAAAAGTTATGAGATACAGAAAAAGCAGTTTTAAAGAGAAGTTTATAGCAATAAATACCTACTTAATAAAAAAAAGTCCCTAATAAACAACCTAATTTTACATGTCAAGAAACTAGAAATAAGAAGAACTAAGCCCCCAAATTAGCAGAAGAAAATAACAAAGAGCAGAAATGAGATAGAAATCAGAAAAGCAATAGAAAAGATCAGAGAAACTAAGAGGTGGTTTTCTGAAAAGATAAACAAAATTGGCAAACCCTTAGACTAAAGAAAGAGAGAAGACTCAAAGTCTGAAATGAAAGAGGAGGCATTACAACACATATCACAGAAATACAAAGGATCATAAGAGAATACTATGAACAGTTGTATACCAACAAACTGGGTAGCCTGGAAAAAATAGATAAATTCCTAAAAACATACAACCTACCAAGACTGAACTGTGAAAAAAATAGAAAATCTGAACAAACCAATAACAAGTAAAGTTGAATCAGTAATCAAAAACCTCCCAACAGAGAAAAGCCCCAGACCAGATTTTTTCACTGGTGAATACTACCAAACATTAAAGAAGAATTAAGGACAATCGTTCTCAAATTTTTCCCAAAAAATAAAGAGAAGGGCACTCCCAAACTCTTTTTATAATACCAGCATTACTCTGATACCAAAACCAGATAAGGGCACTACAAGAAAAGAAAACTATAGATCAATATACCTGATGAATGTAAATGTAGAAATTCTCAACAAAATACTAGCAAACTGAATTGAACAGTGCATTAAATTGATCATACAATATGATCAGTGGGATTTATCCCTGGGATGCAGGAATGGTTTAACATATGCAAATCAATAAAGGTGATACATTTCATTAATCAAATGAAAGATAAAAATTATACAATCATCTCAAGAAATGCAAAAAAGGCATTTGACAAAATTCAACATCCTTTCATGATAAAAATTCCAACATATTTGGTATAGAAAGAATGTACTGCAACATAATAAAGGCCAGATATGGCAAGCCCATGCTAACATAAAAATGATGAAAACTGAAAGCTTTTCCTACAAGATCAGGAACTAAATAAGGGTACCTACTCTCACCATCTTATTCAACATAGTACTGGAAATCCTCGCCAGAGCAATCAGGCAAGAAAAATAAACAAAAGTCATCCAAATCAGTAAGGAAGAAGTAAAATTGTCTCTGTTTACAGATAATATGATCTTAAATATAAAAAAATCTTAAAGACTCCACACACAAAAAAATGTTAGGATTAATCAATGAATTCACTAAAGTTGCAGCATAGAAAATCAACATACAAAAATCAGTTGCAAACGATAAAAATAAATTTTTTAAATTAGCTGCATATCTATACACCAACAGTAAACTATCTGAAAAAGAAATAAGAAAAAATTTCATTTAAAATCACATCAGAAATAATAAAATACTTAGGAATAAATTTAAGCAAGGAGTTGAAATATCTGTATATTTAAACTTAAATGATTTTGATGAAAGAAATTGAAGAAGACAAAAATAAATAAAAAGATATCACATGTTCATGAATGAAAAGAATATTGTTAAAATGTCAGTATTATTCAAAGCAATCTCTAGATTCAATACAACCCAAATCAAAATTCCAATGACATTTTTCACAGGAATAAAAAAAATCCTAAAATTTGTATGGAACCACAAAAGACCTCCAATAGGCAAAGCAATCCTGACAAAGAACAAATCTGGAGGCATCACACTTCCTGATTTCAAACTATACTACAAAGCTCTAGTAAGCAACACAGTATGATACTGGCACATAGACCAATTAAGGAAAAGAATTAAGAGCCCAGAAATAAACCCATGCATATATAGTAAACTAGTATTTGACAAGGGAGCCAAGAATACTCAATGGGGAAACAACAGTCTCTTCAATCAATATTGGGAAAATTGGACATTCACATGCAAATGAATGAAATTGGACCTTTATCATATACCACTTACAAAAATTAACTTGAAATGCATTAGACTTAAATGTAAAACCTGAAATTGTAAAAACTCTAGAAGAAAACACTTCTTGACATTGGCCTTGGCAACAATATTTTGGATATGACCCAAATGCACAAGCAACAAAAGCAGAAATAAATACGTGAAACTACATCAAAGTAAAAAAAATCTTCTGTACAGCATAAGAAACAATCAAGAAAGTGAAAAAGCAACCTACAGAATAGGAGAAAATATCTGTAAACCACATATCTGGTAAGTGATTAATATCCGAAATAGGTAAGGAACTAATATATAACTCAATAGCAAAACACCAAATAATTCAATTTAAAAAGGGCAAAGGACCTGAATAGACACTTCTCCAGAAAGTACATTCACCTGGCCAATAAACACATGGAACGATGCTCAACATCACTAATCATCAGTAAATGCAAATTAAAACCACAATGAGCTATCACCTCACACCTGTCCAAATGACTATCATCAAAAAATCAACAAGCAACAAGTGTAGTCAAGATGTAGAGAAAAAGGAATCCTTGTGCATAGTTGGTAGGACTGTAAACTGGTGCAGCCGCTATAGAAAACAGTATGGAGGTTCCTCAAAAAAATTAAATATAGAGCTGCCACATGACTCAGAAATTCCACTTCTGGATAGTTATTTGAAAAAAAAAAATCACTAATTCAAACAGATATATGCAGCCTTGTGTTCACTGCAGCATTACTTACAATAGCCAAGACACAAAAGAAATCTAGATGTCCATCAACAGATGAACAGATGAAAAAGATATATCAATAGATAGGTAGAGATATATAGATATAATGGAATATTACTGATTAATAAAAAAGAATGAGCCCTGGCCGTGTGGCTTAATTGGTTGGAACTTTGTACTGTACACCAAAAGGTGGTGGATTCGATTCCCGGTGAAGGCACATACCTAGGTTGCCGGTTTGATCCCCGATCAGGGCATGTACAGGAGGCAACCAATGAATGTTTCTCTCTCACATTGATGTTTCTTTCTCTCTCTCTTTCTCTCCCTTCCTCTCTCTAAAAAAAAAAAAAAAAAAAAAAAAAAAAAAAAAAAAAATCAATAAACATATCCTTGGGTGAGGATTAAAAAAAGAATGAATCTTCCCATTTGAAACAATATGGATAGACCTAGAGGATATTACACTAAGTGAAATAAATCAGACAGGGAAAGACAAACATCATATGATTTCACTTATAAATGGAATCTAAAAAAAATAAAACACATGAATAAATGAAACAAAACAGAAACAGACCCATAGATATAGAGAACAAGCCAATGCTTGCCAAAAGGGAAGAGTGTGCGGGGGTGGGGAAAAAAGGACCCAAAGTCCAGAAAGTATAATAAAAATATAATTAAGCCCTGGCCAGTTTGGCTCAGCCATTAGAGCATTGGCCTGCAGACAGAAGGGTCTTGAGTTCAATTCCTGGTCAAGGGCACGCACCTAGGTTACAGGTTCAAACC